CAATGCACCCGACCCCTATGGCGCCTCCTGCGGGTGGTGGGCCTGCGGGAGGATGGGCCCATGTCTCCTCTTCGGCTTGTCACCGAGCAGAAACGGGAGCTGGAAGCATGTAAATATAATAATAACCACTGCAGCCTGACGAGCCCAGCTGTAAGTAAGCTATTAAGACTCGACTGTACACCGTGTTCCTTGGTTTTATATATGCGCGGAATAGTTTTCTATACGAGATCGCTGCAAAAAGTGCAGCCTTACCTAATGTCCACCTACTGTTACTCATTTATATCAAGATTCTAGTTGGTGTTGGCATGAAAATGAATATTTAGTTTTCCTAAGTTTTCAATGTTTGACATTTTGTTTCCAAGAGAAATCTAACTGAATGCAAAATCTTGTTCCAGATGCCCCTGACCCACCAGTGGATGTGGAGACCCACAACCCCACATCCAGTACTGTTACTCTAACCTGGAAGCCTCCCATGTATGATGGTGGCTCCAAAATCATGGGCTACATCCTAGAGAAGCAGCAGAAAGGAGAGGACAAGTGGGAGAGGTGCAATGACTTCCTGGTGCCTGTACTATCCTACACCGTCAGAGGATTGATAGAAGGAAAGAACTTCACCTTTAGAGTCAGAGCTGAAAATGCTGCTGGGATCAGTGAGCCATCACGCAACACGCCATTTATCAAGGCCGCTGATACCATTGGTATGTATCAGCTGTGTGGTCTCGTTCTCTCTCGATCTATCTCTCACTTTCTCTATTTCTAGGTATGCATTTCGGTTTGTCTGATTTTATTTCTCTCTTAGATCCTCCAAAGGTTTTCCTGAGTGGCAGCTTGCAGTCTGGTCTTGCCGTGAAGCGAGGCTACGAGATCTGCCTGGATGCCAACATTTCAGGATCTCCGTACCCTCAGATCACCTGGTACTGGAACAACCAATCAATTCAGCCTGAGCCACTCCGGAAGAGACCTGAAAAACCCCTGAAGAAGAAGGTGGAAAAGAAGGAAGAGGAAAAGAAGGAGGAAAAGGAGAAAGAAGAGGGGACAGCTGAGAAGAAAGAGGAGAAGGAGGGAGAGGTGAAAGAACCTGAGGAAAAAGAAGGCGAGGTGAAAAAAGAAGGCGAGGTGAAAAAGGAGGAGGAAGTTCCACAACCAGAGGTCGAGGAGCCAGACTACCCCACCATAAATGAACGCCTGGCCATCGACAATAGCCACAAGGGTGTATCCTCTATCGTTATCAGGGACTCGATTCGCCCTGATCATGGTGTCTACATGGTGAAGGTGGAGAACGACCATGGCATTGCCTCGGCAACCTGCGAGGTCAACATACTCGGTGCGAGTTCTTTTGTGTTTTCTATAACCAAAGCTTTATACTTTAAAGCAAATCATGTGTTAAAAAAAGATACAAAAAGTTCAAATCTGAACATTTATTCTGTCTACAGATACTCCCGGGCCTCCCGTAAACTTTAGATTCGAGGAGGTGAGGAAGAACTCTGTGATCTGCAAGTGGGATCCCCCTCTGGATGATGGTGGCAGCGAGATTCTCAACTACACCCTGGAACAGAAAGACAACTCCAAGCTGGAGATTGGTTGGAGCACCGTTACCGCAATATTGAAAGGATGTCGTTACTTGGTGCCCAAACTCATTGAAAAGAAGGAGTACATCTTTAGGGTCGTGGCTGAGAACAAGTATGGTGCAGGCCCACCCTGTGTCTCCAAACCGGTCATTGCCAAGAATCCTTTTGGTATGGGTGCATTTATTATTATTCTGGTCTATGTTGTAAGCTAGTTTTGGGTTTTGTTTTATTTGTTTGTTGTTTTTTTCAGCTTGGTTTGTAAAGTTTTAAAGCACAAAAATGTTTGTAACTGATTAAAGGTCAGCTGAAATTAAATATATGTCATTATGTAGATTAATTAACAGATAACTGCGCTATTAATGAACTTAAAGGTATATAAACAATAGTAACATACCACTTATTTTTGTTCCGCTATTTCATCTCGGTATGTCCTTAGAACCTCCCGAAGCACCTGATAAACCACAAGTTGATGACATCACAGCCAATAGCATGCTGGTCACATGGAATGAACCAAATGATAATGGCAGCCCCATCTTGGGATACTGGGTGGAGCGCCGTGAGATCAACAGCTCACACTGGGCACGTGTAAATAGGTGAGAAAACCATACAATGTAACCATTTTCTTTCTTTCTTTTCCAATTTGCAACAAGACACATGAAAGTGCATATTGGCTTGTGTGAGGGTAATAACAAAGCCTTCATGGTACCTTTGGTCTTCAGGAACATCATCCCTGTCCCTGAGCTAAATGTTGAAGGTCTGATCGAGGGGCTGACTTACATCTTTAGAGTTGCTGCCGAAAACCAGGCCGGCCCTGGAAAGTTCAGTGTTCCCTCTGAACCCAAGACTGCTCAGCCAGCGATTTGTACGTAAACTGTTCTAAATCCTTTGTTCGACAGAACTGTGAGTTGTCACTAAATGTTTTATTCTTAGTTATATCCATCTATAACACTTATTTAATATTTGAAAAATGAGCAACTGGCAATTTTTAGAATTTAGAAGTATGAAGAAGAAAAAGTTATGGTAAAATTATTTGCTCCTTTTAAGATTTTCTTTTGGTTTTTTTTTAATACTTGTCACATTTATATGTTTCAGATAAAATTTCAAACAAATTTTAATATTAGAAATTGATAACCTGAGTGAATAGAAAATATTTTTTAAAAGATTATTTCATTCACATTCACATTACAGGGCCTCGAAAGAGTCCTGTATTGTTATTTTTCGTCACTACCTCCCTGAGTCGGGAGGGGATCATTTGTGCGTGTGCTGCCTTTCCTTGGATGTGGTAGTCGTTTGTCAGGTTCTCTCTGGAATCGAACCCTGATTCCCCATTACCTGTGGTCAGACATGGCAGGCAGATAAAGTGCCATCGAAAGTTAATATGGCAAGCATTCGAATGAGACATCGCCGCCGTGGAGGGAAAGGGTTACAGTTTAACATTTTGAAGAGTCCTGTTGCATCTGGCATAAAATGAGCAAATGAATGGAACCATGAATTCTCTTCTCTACTAGAAAATCCTGAAAGAGAATATTCAGCCATCACTTTGTGCCCTGAAGCTCAAGCGCACCCAGGTTATGGAGCAGTACGATGATACAAAACACACCAGCAAGTTCACGTTTGGATGGCCTAAAAAGCCCAACTGAAGGTTTAGGAGTAGCCAAGAGTAACTCCAGACTTAAAACATATAGAAATGGATTGACATGACTTCAAACAGGGCAATATGGCTGAATTCAAACATATCTGCAAAGAAGAGTAGACCAAAATTCTTCCACACCAATATAAAAGATTCATTGCCAGTTATTGCAAACACCTGATTGCAGTTCTTGCTGCGAGAGGTGGTAGAACCAGCTGTTAGGTTCACTTTTTCATATAGGGCCAGGTAGGTTTGGATTCTTGTACTAAATGAAATCATCATGAAAAAAACAGCATTTTCTATTTACTTATGTTGTCTTTGTTAAATACAATTTGTTTGATGATCTAAAACATTAGATTAGATGATTTCCAAGTGTTTTTTTGTTTTAGTATAATATTCAAACTGAATTACTTCCTACCTCATCTGGGTATAGTTATTCTCACTGAAATATAGTCAATCGTAGGGTGAGATTCATCTGTGTTTACTTTGACCCTACAGTGCCTCCAGGTCCTCCAGTTGCCCGAGTGGCAGCAACTACTGACCACTCCATCGAAGTTGAGTGGGACCCGCCTGCTGACAATGGAGGTGGGGAAATCCTGGGATATCATGTGGATAAGGTGAAAAAAGTTACTTCTCATAGGTTTTTAACTTTGTTTTTGAGATTCTGTCATGTTAGAAGTTGATTTCAGTCCTGATGGATGTTCTTGTTTGTTCTGTGGTGTTATTCAGGCTATGGCTGGTACCAAGGACTGGTCAAGATCTACGGAACGTCCGTGGAAGACTCGGAACTTCACTGTTTATGGAGTCAGAGAGGGAGCAAAGTACATGGTCAGAGTCATTGCCTGTAATGCTGCTGGAGAGGGAACACCAGGATTCACAGAGTCTGTATTCGTCAGAAATCCTGCAGGTTAGCTGAAAAACTCAAAAAAAAAATGTTTTTAAAAATGTAGAAATTTGAACCAGTGTTCAATTAGATCAAATCTTGTTTAATTTCGTATTGATGTATATCTTCTTCTTCTTGTATTTTATTTGTTTGTTTTTCATTCTTTGCTTGTTTGCTGGTCATCACTAACAGAGATCCCAGTAATTGAATTGGATCTGTCTGTCAAGAATGGCGTCGTGATCAGAGCTGGAGAAAACCTCCTTATACCTGCTACAGTCACAGGTAAACCCTACCCAGCCATCACCTGGACCAAGGATGATGGCAAACCCGACAAAGACCGTGCGGAGATCCTCACTGAGGACAACAACAGCATCTTTTCAGTCAAGAATGTCCAGAGGAAAGACTGCGGAAAATATCAAATCTCCGCTTGCAACCCCAGTGGCATCAAGTCTGCATGGACCAGAGTGGAGGTCATGGGTGAGTCCAGGACGTTAGAATTCAGTCTGAACTTGTAATTAGTTGAACAAATGATCAAACAGGATAATATTGTTTTATTTTCAGATGTCCCGGGACCTGTCACAGACCTGAAGCCTGTTGTTGTCACTCGTAAGATGATCTTTCTGAACTGGGATGACCCTGAAGACGATGGAGGCAGTGACTTGACCGGCTTCCTCGTGGAGCGAAGAGATCCCAAGATGCACACATGGAGGCAACCTGTTGAAACCGCCTCGTCCAAGTGTGAGTGTGTGGGCATTATGGAGGGACAAGAATACCTGTTCCGTGTCATCGCCAAGAACAAATACGGCCTGGGCCCACCTGTTGAGCTAGGACCCATCAAGGCTGTAGACCCACAGGGTGAGTGCTACGTTTATTTTCATTCTATGGATGTTGGGGATTTTGTGTTTAGAAGCAGTGTGAAATGTGGAAGTGTATTTGAAACAAGTTTCTTGTGTGGTTTTGCAGGCCCGCCATCATATCCTGAGAAGTTCCACTACACTGAACGCACAAAGAACTCCATCACGTTCGCCTGGAAACCACCACGTAATGATGGCGGCAGCCCTATCATTGGTTACTTTGTTGAGAAAAAGAGACAGGACCAGCAGGCCTTTGAGCCCTGCAACACTGAGATCTGTCCCAACATGACTATGACTGTGGAGGGCCTGGATGATGCCTGGATGTACGAGTTCAGAATCAAGTGTGCCAACCTTATTGGAGAGAGTGAGCCATCCATCCCACTGACTGTGGTTATCCAAGATGATGAAGGTAAAGCCTGAAAACTTCTACTTGTTCAAGTAATGGATGGAAGAGTTTTCTCCAGAGAAATGTATATAAAATAAAGAGGTCAACCCTGGTGGACGCTAATAACTTGGCTCATGGCTCATGCATTCTGATTTGGTTGATTTCTGTCTTGCCTTTCTCAGTGTCTCCTGAGATTCACATGCTGAAGCAGTTCAAAGGGGATACCATTACTGTGAAGAAGGGTGAATCCATCGAGATCCCAGCTGATGTCCTGGGACTCCCCATCCCTAAGATTGAGTGGTCTAAGGATGACGTAGTGATCGAGAAGCCTACTGAGACTCTACTGATGGAGACAAATGTGACTGGCAGAATGAATTGCAAGACCATGCTGTCCATCCCAGCAGCCAACAGGAGGGACCGTGGCAGTTACACTGTGGCTGCCTCCAACAACATGGGTTCAGCCACGCACACGGTCTATGTCATGGTGCTTGGTGAGTTGAAATCATGTCACTGTGGTGGTACTTTATAACATAAAATATGGTGTTATGTTATTAGTTATGCTAGTTCTGTTTGTATCAGAGTAACCAGCTGACAGTGTCCTGACTGAACTCATGCTCTTCTCTTCAGACCGACCAACTCCACCAAGGAATGTGACAGTAACCAATATCAGAGGTGAGTCCTGCTACCTCAACTGGGACGCACCACTTGATAATGGCGGAAGTGAACTGACCAACTACATCATTGAGAAGAAGGAAGTGGTAACAGAGGTGCCTGAGGTGGAAGAGGGACAGGAAGCTCCACCTGAACCGCAGTGGGAGGAGGTTACAAATAGTATAATTGAGAGAAAATATGGGGTATGTCTTTATAATAGTAGCGCCAACTACAAGTTATATTAATAATAATAAATGTAGTCCAATTGGTTTCCAATGGTAACATCACCTACATCTTCTGAAGGTCTGGAACCTGGAAGACAAAAAGACCTACCTTTTCCGGGTACGTGCTGAGAACCGCTACGGTAAATCTGATCCCTGCACAACTGAGGAAGTTCAAATTATAGACCCCTTCGGCCTTCCTGGCCCTCCAGAGAAACCAACAATTGCAGAGTACTGCAAGACCTCCATGACTCTAACCTGGGAACCTCCCAGAGATAATGGAGGCTCCACGATTATTGGTTACTGGCTGGAAAAAAGCGAGAAAGGTACTGCTTACTGGGCTAAAGTCAATAAGATGCCCATCACAAAGAGGGGCATGAAAGGCTGGGAGTACCAGGTGAGCTGTGGGGCTTTCTAGTAATTTTAGCATTTATTTTAAGGAAAGCACTGCCTCGGTGTGTACAACTCCTTGTTTAGAAATTGAATACTGTTGCATTATGTGTCTCTCAGGTGACACGTCTGTTTGAAGGAACAGAGTACGAGTTTAGGGTCGCAGCCTGTAATTCAGCAGGAACCGGACCTTTCAGTGGACCATCTGACTCTGCCTTTGCTGTTGACCCTCTCAGTAAGTAAAGGACAATGCATGTCTTTTTAAAACCCACCAGCTTACTTAAGTCTGGTGTTGGCCGCCAGATTCGAGGGGATGATGAATGATAGAATTTGGATACTTTTTTCACATTCTGTTGCTTTTCCCTGCAGCTCCTCCAAGCATGCCTGCTGCTCCCGAGGTGGCCGATAAGACAAAACACAATGTCACACTCTCCTGGAAACCACCAGAGAGTGATGGTGGCAGTCCCATCAAGGGCTACATTATCCAGATACAGGATGAGGGGACATCAGAGTGGGTGAGAGTAAATGATCCTGAAACCCTGCACCCCACTACTGAGTTTACAGTGCCAAGCCTCCGCGAGCTGAAGCGCTACCGCTTCAGGATCATTGCTGTCAATGACATTGGAGAGTCTGATCCCAGCCCCCGCACTAGTGAAGTTCTTATTGAGGATGTCCAACGTATGTCTGAATTTAAAGTAATTTTCACTACAATAAGTAGATACTGTGTATTTCATCCACTGATGTGTTTATCAATTCCTACTCAACAGTTCCACCTTCAATCACACTTGATGTGATGGCAGATGACCTGGTTTCCATCCGTGCTGGAGATCCCATTAGAATCCCCACCACCATCAAAGGCCGGCCCACTCCTAAGGTAACCTGGGACTTTGACGGCAAAGCCAAGTCGCACAAGAAAAACAAACTCCACACACTGCCTGTGGACTCTGAGGTGAGACCTTAATACCACATTTTCAGGTAAAAAAAAAAAAATCACCTTTCTGAAGAGTTCTTGCCCTTCTTTCCCTTATTTTTCACTTGTCTGTTAAAATTTTATGAAACCATTGCATTATTATGTTTGTGTTTGTATATCTTACAAAATACATAAGACAATTCTTTAAATATTTTTTTGTTTTGCTTGTTCAGGTGGAGTCCACAGACACCACTTCTGTTGTGACTATACCTGTCAGTCTGAGGACTCACTCTGGACGTTACACCATCACAGCTAAGAACAAGTCTGGACAGAAACACCTCAACATCAGGGTCATTGTCCTCGGTATGTTTGTGACTTTTTTTTAAGAGAAGCATACTTATAGATGACTAGCAATGGCAGAGTGGCATCTTTTTCCTGTGTCCTAAATGTTTTACTGTGCTTGTGGCTGCAGATGTTCCCGGACCTCCAAAGGACTTAAAGATTACTGACATCACCCGATCAACCATGAGGCTGATCTGGAAGCTCCCCGATACAGATGGAGGAGAGCGAATCAAGAGTTACTTTATTGAGAAGAAATCTGTGACCGACAAGGCCTGGACCAAGGTAAACATCACCTTGTTGTCAGTTTCTCTATCCTATTTTGCTAAGTTTCAAAAGTAATGTATGGAAATAGTCCCTTTGATTAGATGTTGCAGGAATGGATAGAGACTCCCAAGCTAAATAGTAAGCTGCTTCTATGATTCTAATATGTCCATGACTCAGAAGCACTAGATATAACAGCTAAGTTTAACTTTAAGATTCTGCTGTTTGTGATTGATTAGCTGAGTTTTTTGCTTTGTTATCAGGTTAATGTAGCCTGTGCTAGCCAGGCCTACGTGGTGCCAGGACTGCTAGAGGGTCAGGACTACCTGTTCAGAGTGCGAGCAGAGAACCGATTGGGATTCGGCCCGTTCACTGTCACCACTGAACCTGTCCGGGCCAGAGACCCCATCTGTGAGGACTTGTTTGGAATTTCAGCTCCAGATATGCAGCACATACTTCCAAAGTTTATATGAATTGCCCTAATATTAACCATCCTCTTTCTCAGACCCACCTGACCCCCCCACCAAGCTGAAGGTTAACCTGGTGACAAAGAACACTGTCACCTTGAGCTGGGAGGCTCCCAAAAATAATGGTGGCTCTCCTGTGAAGCATTACATCATTGAACGATTGAGCTGGGACACCACCGGCAAGGAGAAAGAGACCTGGAAACAGTGCAACAAGAGAGATGTGGAAGAGCTCACCTTCGTGGTGGAGGATCTCAAAGAGGTCAGGCTTTCCTCTTCAAAGTATTCCTCCATGTACTGCTTGTTTCCTGTATTAATTAGAATCACATTTATGAATACATGGCTGGAGAAAGGCATATTTTAAATGTCACTTTTTGTCCTAGTCTTAAGATTGATCATTTTCTTTCTGGAAGTTATTTAAGATGATTTCTAGAAAACTCAAACTGATAACTGATGAAAATGTAATGCAATAAAAGTTGATTCTGTTCATCGGGGTGTAGCGTTTTCAGTGGGAGAAACGTTTCGTCACTCATCCAGCTGACGTCTTCAGTCTCAGCTGACTGCAGGTTTCCCACCTTATAAACAGGAAATTTGCCCAATAACTGAAACAAGCACCACCAGTGAAAAATGGTCAGTTTCAAGATCATTAATATGCAAATTCTCATGACCACTGATCAATGTCCATGAGTGCCATTCACAGAGAGTTGGGGAATGGCTGCAATCACAGCATTGTAAGATGGTGACAGATGTACCCTTAGGCCCCCTCCGCGATTCAGAGATGGTCTTTCCCTTTTCACGTAAATGGCCTCCTTGACTCCGCCCTCAAACCAGCGTCCCTCCCTGTCCAGGATGTTACATCCTCATCCTTGAAAGAGTGTCCACTGGCCTGTAGGTGTAAATAGACTGCAGAGTCCTGGCCTGACGAGGTGGCTCTTCTGTGTTGTGCCATCCACTTAGCCCAGGGGTGGGCAATTCCAGGCCCCAAGGGCCGGTGTCCTGCAGGTTTTAGATCTCACCTTGGGTCAACACACCTGAATCACATGATTAGTTCATTACCAGGCCTCTGGAGAACTTCAGGACATGTTGAGGAGCTAATTTAGCCATTTAAATCAGCTGTGTTGGTTCAAGGACACATCTAAAACCTCCAGGGATACCGGCCTTCGGGGCCTGGAATTGCCCACCCCTGTCTTAGCCAGAGGTTGTTTGTTTTCCCTGATGTATAAATCCTGGCAATCCTCCTGGCACGTAACAGCGTACACTATGTTACTCTGTTTGTGTCGGGGGACCCGATCCTTGGGTGGACCAATTTTTGGCAAAACTTTTCTCCCACTGAAAACGTTACCTCCAGATGAACAGAATCAGCTTTTTGGGATTTCCTTAGCTGGATGATCAAGGATGCATTAAGACATAATGCAATAAAGATTGCTTCTTTTACTTTAAAGTTTTTTAAGATGATTAATATTTAGTGCATAATCTTTAACCCACTCTATCTCTTTGCGATGTTACTGTCATTTTAACTTGTATTTCTCCAACACAAAATTTGAGAATTAAGCCAAAATTTATCCTGCAGAGAGAGTTGCTTCTGACGGACATTTATATTTTTTACAAAAAAAACTAACAACAAAAAATAACAGGAGAGGATAAAACCTGAGCTTTCAGCCCACTTTCCACAGTGATTTGGGAATTTCTACTGGAATTTTACCCAAACTTTGTGTTGACTGTCTTGTTAATCTACAGGGAGGAGAATATGAGTTCAGAGTAAAAGCTGTAAATGCTGCTGGACCCAGCCGACCCTCTGCCACCATTGGACCCATGGTCATCAAGGATCAGACATGTGAGCAACAGCCTCTTCAGCCAATGACAGGCTACTCATATTCCACTCTATTTGACCAGCACGTTTGTTTTTTAAGTCAAATATTCATAGGGGCTGTTTCACGAACATCTGTGGGTGCCTGAGAATGTTGCATTCAGTTAACTTTATGATGGTGATTAACAAACAGTTTGTTTTGTCGATCATAACAAACGGATCATCTCTCTGCAGGTCCGCCCACTATTGAACTACGTGAGGCTATGGAGGGAGAGGAGGGCTGTGACATCAGCATTGTTGCAAAAGTTAGCGGCTGTCCGTTCCCCAGCCTCGTTTGGCACAAAGCCAGTCTGGACAAACCTGAGGAGAAGTCTGCCATTCAGTATGACCAACACATCAACAAACTAGTAACCCAGGATAAGTGCACCCTTCTAATACAGCAAGCCAGCAGGCATGACAGCTCACTCTACAGCCTGACCGCCACTAATAGTCTGGGCACTGTTTGCAAGGGCATCAAGCTCTCAGTGTTTGGTAAGAAATTCAACCTAAAGATGTTACATGTGTCTTTTCAACTCTTAAAAAATATTTGGATTTTATTTCTCAACAAAGCTGAATCACAGCAAACCATATTTCTCATCAGATAATTTAATTTAAAGGCAACAGCAGTACAAGTTTCATTACCAGACGCTTGGCCTGGCAGAGCGCTGTGTCACCTTCAAATCAACAGCGCTATGCCCGACTCAAAGCCTTTGCAGTATCCAAAGTTCTTTGTCTAAAAAAGTTTGTAATGTTCAATTAAAAACAGCAATCTTCAGAGAGAATGAGAATGTCATTTTGTCCACTTGTATTTTGAAACAGAGACTCAGTTTATTCAAATTGTGTGATGTTCTCAAATCAAGGTTAAAAGTCTCGTAGCAGTTTAATTATCAGGTGATAGCAGGTTTGATCACTGGTTGAAGTGATTTCCAGGTCTCTTCAGATATACATATATGACTCAGCCTCCCTCCCTATGTAGGGCCTCCCGGTCCCCCAGTCGGACCAGTCAAGTTCACGGAGGTGTTTGCAGAAAGAATAGGCCTCGCCTGGAACCCTCCCATCGATGACGGTGGATCTAAGATCACCAACTACGTGGTTGAGAAGCGTGAGGAGAACAGGAAATCGTGGGTCCATGTCTCCAATGATCCCAAAGAGTGTACCTATGTGGTAACCCGGCTGACCGAGAACCATGAGTATGAGTTCAGAGTCATGGCTCAAAACAAGTTTGGAGTAGGCCCACCACTGGTCAGTGATCCAGAGAAGGCCAGAAATCTCTTCAGTGAGTTTAGACCATCACATCTTCACCCTCATTACACAAATGAGGACAAATAACTTGTATTACACTTTATATTAATATTATCTATTACATGTTAAATTATTTCTTTACGGTCCACTTACTGCATAACTTACCGTCATCATTTTCTAATATTAAAAAAACTACTGTCAGTTCTATGGTTTTATATATCAGGATATATTAAAAAAAGAAATTGGCCTTTAACAGGCCAATCGTAGACAATATTACATATTACACTGTGTCACTAACACCCACAGCTCTAGAGGATTCTGATCTGTCTGTCTGGTAATTCATAGACAAATGATGTATTGATTATGGGTGGATCGTGGATAACAGCCCTGTCCTCTTGCAGCTGTCCCCGGTCAGTGTGAGAAGCCCACTGTGACCGAAGTCTGTCTGGAGTCAATGACTGTCAACTGGGAAGAACCCAAGTACGATGGTGGGTCCCCCGTCACTGGCTACATCATCGAGAAGAAGGAGACCACTGCCAAGCGCTGGATCCGTGTCAACCGTGAGCCCATTAGGGCACTGCCACTGGGCAACAACTGGGATGTCACTGGGCTACTGGAAGGGGCCCTATACCAGTTCAGGGTCATTGCTGTCAATGCTGCTGGCTGTGGACTGCCCAGTATACCTTCTGACCCCATACTCTGCAGAGACCCCATCAGTAAGACAGAAGTTATTATTGTGTTAAAGCATGTTAGCAGCAACATTGTAGCAGAGATTAGATCCTGTTAATTAAATGATTCTCGAGCAAAACTAAAATAAATGATCCCAAATGAAATGTCAAACTCCAGACAGCAAATTGTGTTGGTGCTGAAACATGTTTTACCATTGTGTATGCTTCTAATCACATTTGTGATTTAGCAGAAACTAGAGCTTTACAGTATTTCAATTTGTGCATGCAGAGCCTCCTGGACCGCCCACTCCAAAGGTAACAGACTGGACAAAGTCTACAGTTGAGCTCGAGTGGATACCGCCTCTGGTGGACGGAGGGTCAAAAGTCACAGGCTACATTGTGGAGTTCAAGGAGGTGAACAAGGAGGAAGAGGAGAAGAAAGCTCAGAGGAGGCTACTCCTGAGTGTAGCTGAAGAGGAGAAGGAAACAGAAACTGAAGAGGCCTGGGAGAAGGTAAAAAGAGAAACAGATTGTGACCAGGTGTTGGCGGGGTTATAAAAGAAATCGTAAAATGACAACGCCACCTAGGGGAAGTTCACCCCCAGGAAATATACATTTAAGAAAAATTGATAAAAGGAATAAAAAGAGGCCGCACAGATTCGAGGATGCACACCGAGGCAGGTTGGCCCCAATATTAGTACAGTTTTATTTACGGTTAAAATAAATAAAATATTAGAAAGCAAAAGGTAGCGTCGTTGTTGACAGTGTCCTCAAGTTAAAAATAAAACACTCATGGAACTTGGACTTACCAGCAGCTGTGGACCCAAAAGAAAATCACACAAAAAGAAAATCACTACAGCCCACCCGGTGCTGTGCAAAAGAAAGTGTGAAAACGACCCCCCACCTGAGGTCCCAGGGCCACTGGCACGTCCTCCGTCCACTGAAATACAACACAGAGCAATACGTTAAAAGAATAAAAGGACACTGAGCGTCAGGCTCGCTACAGATCATAAAAACTAAAACCAACTGTGATTACTTTAATAAAAGACACACACACACACACACACACACACACCAAACTGGAAGGCTTGCGCCCCACGAGTCAAACTACAACTCGTGCTGGTGGTAATTGTCCAGGTTCGAAATAAAATGGGCAGCAAAACACAGCTGATTTCCCACTTACTACTACTTACTTCCGAAAAGAAAACCAAATTTCTGCCGTTCAATAGGCTTCTGAACAAATTTAAACTTTTTAACATTATGCAAAATTGCAAAACGCTCAGCTGTGTCTCTAATAAAACCTCTGTAATTTGCTCTGCTTCAGTTCAGCAGCATCAGGTAATGTTCATTTATTGATTAATAGTTTTCTTCCTTCTTTTTTGATCTACTGCAGAATATTTTTGTAAAATCGTTTTTCTGTTTTAGCCTCAGCTACGTTGACACAAAGACATCTGCTGTGATGCTCACACCTTAGATAAAGTCTCGAAAGTGTCAGCTTCCTTTTTATGGTTATAAAAATATGTAAATGTACTGATCTATGATCTGAATTATACTATTGACTGAGTGTCTGAGGCTGACAGTTACACAGTCATACCAAGACTCTGTCCTGATAGTTTCCACTTTCTCTTTTGTATCAGAGATACTGAGACAATATTCAGGATAAATAACCATGAAAACAATTTATTCAGTTTAGAGGTTTACACATCACATCATTATAATCACAGAGCCCGTTTCACTTGAATCGTCCACTTGATGGCGCAGTAGAGCAAATGAAGCATCACAATGCTTCGAACCATGAGTCGACCGGTTGGATGGAAGCTTCAGTTCATCTCACCATCACTACCTGTAGCTGTCATATGATCTACTCGCTTGCTGATCAATCTGTCGCGGTGTGCCAGCATTTACTGCTGCTTTGCGCCAAACGCACGGGAGGAACGATCCAGAAAAACACCGGCTTAGCTTTATACGGGCTGACAGCACCCTGCAATCAATATGCAGGAGGGTTCCCAATTAACCTAGTTGCGCAGGAGAGAGCGAGGGCGGTAGAGCGAGAGAGAAAGAGGAAAAGACTAACATAAGACACCAATGCATTAAATCTATGAAGAGATAGAGCACTATGGTTCTAATGATGCAGTAAAATAATGTAATCTGTGTATATATGTATCTTTACTTTACAGAGTGACATCAGTTGCTCTGAACTCATCTTTAATGTTGTGATGTTGACTTCAGGATTTGAGACATCTCCACAAAGCCAATGAAGATCCAGTATGTAGTGTTTTTAACATGATTAAATGAACGTTAATTTGCATTTCGCCTCTGCCCAGGCAAAGGACACTGAGATCAGAGGAACTAAATTTGTGGTGGCTGGCCTTAAGGAAGGTGGTCTGTACCGCTTCAGAGTCCGAGCTGTGAATGCTGCTGGAGTAGGAGACCCTGGATTAGTGTCTGAGCTAATTGAGGTCAAAGACAGAACAAGTAAGATACAGATCCAACTTTAACATCTGGCAAAGCAATGATTTTTGTTAATAACACAAACGTAAAAATTGTCCCCGTCTCGTGCAGTTCCTCCTGAGATGGATCTTGACGCCTCAGTGAAGGAGAAAATTGTAGTCCATGCCGGTGGCACCATCCGCATTATCGCCTACGTGTCCGGCAAACCTGCCCCACAGATCACTTGGTGCCGGGATGACAGTGAGGTGCCCAAAGAGGCCGTGGTGGAGACGACAGGCATCTCTAATTCACTGGTCATTAAGAACTGCAGACGCCAACACCAGGGCATTTATACACTAAGTGCAAAGAACGAGGGCGGAGAGAGGAAGAAGGCGGTCATTGTTGAGGTCCTGGGTGGGTAATCACATTCACCTCAAACAATTTGAACATGCTGATGCATAAAGAGCTGTCCCATCCACTTTCTTAACCGCGTATCCAAGTAGAATATGGAAGCTTTATGTGCAGAGTCTGACTCCGTCCTTATCTCTACAGACGTTCCTGGACCAGTTGGTCTTCCCTTCGCTGGAGAGAACCTGACCAATGACTCCTGCAAGCTGACCTGGTACTCCCCTGAGGATGATGGCGGCTCAGCCATTACCAACTATATTATTGAGAAGAGAGAGTCAGACCGCATGGGTTGGACCTCTGTATCTTACACAGTGACAAGAAACAATGCTGTAGTACAAGGACTCATCGATGGCAAGGGCTACTTCTTCAGGATTGCAGCTGAGAACATCATAGGCATGGGACCTTTCATCGAGACCGACAAGATGGTTCTCATCAAAGATCCCATCTGTAAGTCCAACATGTGAAAGGAAGAGAGTCCCTTATTTAACATTTTAGTTGTAACTTCTTTACAATTTTAAGGGTAATCACCAAACTAGAAAAAACATAATAGGAGTTATTACTGAATTGTTATATACAAAGTTTTTTTTAAATCCTCATTTCAAAGTTGCAACTATTAGGCATGAAATCTTTAGAAGACGCTGATCTTATGTCGTTTTAAAAATTAATTAATTCATCAATTAATTAATACAAATTTGTTTTAAATCTATGGAAGCGCAAAAATAGTTTTTCAATTATATACTTTCAATAATTTGAATGTTAATTATAACCTGGAAGTAAATCTTTCTTACAAGTCAACTCCTCACAATTTGTGCAGAATATCTACAGGAAAACAACAACAACCGCTCGTGAGGCACGAAAACCCTTTGACAGTCATTTGGGTAGAACAAAAAAAAACTGCTGTCACTCTGTGTTTGTATTTTCTGCAGCTGTCCCAGAGCGTCCTGAGGATCTAATCATCACAGCTATTACCAAAGACTCCATCTCCGTCACCTGGAGACCACCCAAATATGATGGTGGTGCAGATGTGACCAGCTATGTCCTTGAGTCCCGAATGATAGGCCATGACAGCTTTGTGAGAGTAGGCGGAGAGGACAAGCTGATGGACAGACGGTTCACACTAACTGGGCTAAAGGAAGGCTCAAGCCATGAGTTCAGAGTCTCAGCTGTCAACCAGGTGGGACAAGGCAAACCATCTTTTGCCACCAAACCTGTGCAGTGCAAGGATGAACTTGGTAAGTGACACAACATGACAACATTCATTTTATCATAAAAACTAGTGACTCACCAATGTGAAAACCAAGGATGGTAACTATGATTCAACATTGCTTATGAGGTATAACAGTTGTTTCAGCAAGTTGGTTTTGGGATGTAATTCGAGGTTTGTCAGTGTTTTGCCATGTAATGACATAAGATAAGATAACATAAGATAAGATAACCTTTATTAGTCCCACACGTGGGAAATTTGTTTTGTCACAGCAGGAAGTGGACAGTGCAAAAGTTATGAGGCAAAAATTAGGATACAATAAGAATAAATACAGTACACAACTGTACAGGATAGAATAAATAAAATACTATATATAGTAGAATAAAATAAAATAA